GCTACTACATGAAAAGTACTTTAACTAGGGGTGTTAATATTTGACACGACTCGAAACCCGACCCAGACTCGACCCAGAAAATGCTGGGTTCAGGTCAACCGTTTGACATATGGGTCGGGTTCGAGTTGACAAAGTCAACCTATTTCAAAAACCAGGTCGGGTTCGGTTTGAAACGAAAACCCAAAACTGAGCTGATTGACCTATTTAGAAACCTTAGCTTCAGCCTTTTGTGGTTCGAGCGTTCGACTTGTTCACGACTCTCGAGCCGTTCACAAGCCGTCACCTGACTTCGGGTTGCTTGCCTGCCACGTTTGTCCTCCTCCACAGCTTGTCCGAGTCGGCCCGACCATCCAGGCCTCTGGATTTTGCCGTCTTTCAGGCTGAGGCGACACTGTAGGAGCTTGTCTGGCCTTTAAAGCTCCCCGTTCCATGGGATCCACCATTCTGCCGCCTTCCTTCGCTGTTTGCCAGGCCGAGCAACTAGCTTGTCCGGCCTGTTGTTCTTCCTCCGCAACCTTCCAGGCCGAGTCGACCACACACCCAAAAGCCCACCTTCAAAGCTCTTCCGACAGCCACAGTTTGCAAGCTTGCCCCCAAGTTTGCAGGTTGGTTTAGGTCAACTCGTAACCCGTGCTTGTCAGATCCAGGTTGGATTTTCTAAGTCATTTTCAAAAACGGTGGTCAATCCGTTTAGACCCGCATCAATCCGGGTTTAACCCAAACCTAACCCGCGAACTTGTTTTGACACCCCTAACTTTAACATCGTCCCCCTCCAAGATTTCAATGGCTCCGCCATAAGCCTCAATCACTACTAGAGATGGAATTCTCTACTTTGCAGTACTTGCTACCATAGGACCTGCTTATGTGGTCAGCAGTGAAGAATCAGCAGTAGAAAAACCTTGATCTAAAAAACCTAGAGGACTTCTAGCAACTTGTCCTGCAAAATGATTATCTTCATATATAATTTGGGCACCAACTATGTCAAAACGAAGGCTTCAAACTCACTCAGTGAGTGTCTCAATAACTTGCTAGAAGTTAAGAAGACTTTAGGCTTATTAGTGGACAACAACGCCCTATCTCCAATCATCACTCACTCAAAATTTTTAAAGTGCTTCTCTTTACCTTCATCCCAATTAGCAACGAGCTTGACCACTACAGGACTACAGTTCGTCTCAACAAAGGCCACCGCTTCACTAGTTGCACCCATAGTTGGTCATTCAGTAGGGGGCCTCCTCCCTAGCCCACAGTCAACTAGACATCATCTAAACTAGAGGAGAGGACTACTTTCCTTGTACTCCCCCAGCTGGCAGCACCCTTTAATCCTTTACTATCTCAACACATGGTAATAGCTTCTACTTACTCTCTCTTTTTACCATTCAGTGATAACAACAAATACTTTCTTTAATTTACTTCTCTTTTTATAACTCGTTTTCAAAGGGTCAAGTGAATTGAGGAACTAAAAATATACTTGTACATCCCCATATAGGTACTTCACAGGGTATCTAACAGGTTCTTACTGGGATATTAGTCCTGAATGACCCCACCTCCTCAAAGAAGCACTCACCACAAAGAAGTTGGCCAGCAAGCTAGTCCCCATTATTCAGCAAAGTCATAGTCATTTTCCCAATGAGGCGATGACATGAAACTCACCAAGGCAAGAAAAATCGAGGAATCATTACCTCGAGTAGGACTTGAACACACCCATCTAAGTTTTAGAAACCACTCGTACAAGCATGAATCGCTTATCCACAATCATCCCTCATGGTCAAGGCGCTTTAGCCGCCACTAACATCCTCGATACAGCTACACCTCTCAGGCATGGAGAATCCTCAGCCTGCAACCTCGTCTACTCAAGAGGACTTGCCCTTTTGCTTCCATAGTTTTGGACCTTGACTCACTAGAATTGCTACCAAGTTCAAATGTAGCATATATACTGAGCCTCAAGGACTTTCCCAGTGCATTCAACCATGAGGACTCACACTAAGGAGTCGCCCCAAGATCAAGGGCCCTATTATATATAGAGATCCCCTTGGAGGTCAATCAGCTAGGCCGCATATCTATGATAACCTATAATAAGTCATATCACACATTATACTTGAGGTTTATTTTTTTTTATTTTCTTAAATGTAGCATTTCCAGTAGCCATCTAAATCCTGTAAATAAATGGTGAAGAGGCATCTTTTGGATCATTTAGACTTTTAAACTTTTAGATACTTTAGGGCTTTTTGATATTCGAAACTACCAGATCTTATTTTTCCTTCTTTCTCTAGATTCTATACTATTCTCTCCCAGGACATATAGAGCTCTCACTCTCTATACTCACTCAAACTCCATTCAATCCTCCAACTGATGGCTTAATATTACTAGTTAGTATGGTCCTGTATCATCTACAAATAAATTTAGATCAAACATGAATAATGATTGGACCTATATGTAGCAAAAATAGCAATTATTCCTTGGGCCTGATTTTGCAAATGGAAGTAAACATTGAAAATGTTTAAAAGTCAATATTTATGAATGCCCTTTTGTTTGGTAAGTTTAAATTTGCATATATATATCCTTATAGGAAAGATTTTCAAAATTTCTACTTCATTACTTTATGTTCCAAACGAGATTTAGGGATGCCATATTATCAAGATAGTCTTTGAAAAAAGGAAAACTGAAACCTTTATAATTAGCAACAAGGAAAACCTACATCAATTCCTAAGAATGAAGGACAACAAATAATTTGACCAGAAATAAACTAGTCTGGAGGTGCGTCAATTCTGCTTCAGCTAGAATGTCTGATGCAGAACATCTTTAACTATGGGTTCATCACCTAGTAAACCATAGTTCAACCTTTCTTGAATTAGATTAGTTTGACTCATTTTTTGTTGCAATGATGTTGTGGATGAAATTTCACACAATCACAGTCCACATGATTTCTAAATGAAAACAATGCAACATAAAGTTTATATCTGAATTTAAAACATGTAAATGCAATAATCAGTTTCCTTACAATAACTTTAGCTCTGGTTATTGATTTTGATTTTGAGTCAATAACATAGATCTCTTCAAAATCAAGTATAAATTCAGGGTCATCAATACGTCTGTTCCTGTAATGTTTTGTGAGGAAAACCTGCAAGGAGAAACATACAACTTTTAGTCCATCAAGACAAAACAAAAATACGTGATTGCCAATTAAAATCTCAAATTAGAATATTAGAGGAAAAATATCCTCAAGCTACAACAAATATTTTTAATTCACTGGTTATTGCTTACACCCAATCTGTCGCATCCAGCCGTCAAATTGTTTCCAGTTATAAGCAAGAAGTGTTCAATAACTTTAAGCAAACCAATAAGAATTGAAAGAAGAAAGATCTCTTTCAACAAAGAAGGAAAACATAAGCAAGCTCCAATCACTAGAGATCCACCAAATAATATCAATTGGTTTTTCACGCACACTAAGAAAATTAAAGAATCACAAACGTGGCGTTAACTCACACTTGAAAATAGTGAGAAATATAATAATAACTAGTACACCTACGGATGGACTGTGATAAGCAAAATGTTACCTGGGAAAATAAAGGGAAAAACATAGGTTAAGTATCCTTGATATTGACAGCAATAGCTTCAGAAGCTATAAAACTACTATTCAAAAACCAAATTGCTTACTAATCATAAAATGCTAACAATAATGAGGTGGCAATCATGATTTTGGCAGTAGTGCTGGTGAAATAACAGAGTAATAGTGCAAATTTACACCTAGGAAAATATTTAATGTTGCTGAAAAATTCTTTCCGGTCACAATCATGGAATAAGAATCATAATATATTGCTCCAATCAGCACGTCATACTACACTAAATTGGTATAATTTGACATATTTGAATTATTAATTGCACGAGGCATCAATATGTACCTTTAAGATTTCCCTATCAGTCTTATATAGTGGATCACGAGGTGCATCTATTGGTGGCTCAGTAACATTGTAACAGCCAAAATCTGTTTTGGAGCAACGTATGTACTGTAAGATACAAAGCAAGGAAATACAGTTAGTCAAATATGTACTAAAGAGAGCACAAAAAAAGAATATGCTGAAGTTCATATTTATATTTACCAATCAAAGATTGCTGACAATTTATTTTACATTCTTAAACTTCCCTGAGCATGAGGTGGAGCAAAAAAGTCGGCATATATCATTATCATCATCAGCCTTATCCCAACTATATACTTCTATTTTATGAATCCTAATTCTCCATTTAGTCCCATTGAGGTTTTCATGAGATGTCAATTGTATTTTTCACAGATCTTTCTCCATACTTTCTATCAATGTCACTTTTGATCTACACCCCCTTTTCTTTTGTAATCCTTTGCTATCAATTTTATTTACTTATCCTACTACTATTCTTCTATCCTCGGTTTTACATTCCCAGACCATCAAAATTTATGTACCATACCTATATTGCATATGTGTTTTTCCTACTATTTGTTCATTATAAGCATTTGTTAAATCTGACTTCATAATTTTATCTCATATTCATCTTAACATTCTCCTTTCTATCATACACAATTAAGCACTCAATGATTTTTTTCCACCTTCACTTTGATTCATATAACATAACCAGTCTACTTGCAATTTTATAAAACTTAATTTCAAGACTTCATTATTTCTCTTATCACATAATACTGTTGAGACGCTTATCTATTTTAACCACCAAATCTTAAATAATTTTCTAATTCTTTTATAAATTAGAATTAAGATATTAAGCTTATCACACATATATCACTTAAAAACAATTATTTCACACACTAAAATTGCATGTCGAATACTTAGTCTTTATTCTACTAATCCTTAGGCCCTTTAAATTCAAATTATTTTCTCCATTGTACTGATTTTTTACTCATTTTAGACTGCAAATTAGAATTATTATCATTTGTATAACGCAATCCTCCACTTTTCTCATCCAGGACTTGGGACCTAGCAACGGCAGTGTTTATCTATTTTAACCACCAAATATTAAATAATTTTCTAATTCTTTTATAAATTAGAATTAAGATATTAAGCTTATCACACATATATCACTTAAAAACAATTATTTCACACACTAAAATTGCATGTCGAATACTTAGTCTTTATTCTACTAATCCTTAGGCCCTTTAAATTCAAATTATTTTCTCCATTGTACTGATTTTTTACTCATTTTAGACTGCAAATTAGAATTATTATCATTTGTAAACAGTATAAGCCAAGATTCCCATCTTTTTACAGCCTTTATAACTATCTTAAATAACAATACAAAAAAAATTTATGAATTTGATACTGATCTCTAACATGACATTAATGTGAATAGGAAATATTGGACATCTTAGGGTCTAGGTTTTATTAATGTAAACTTAAAATAGGATGTGAAAAACAAGCATATAAAAGAACAAATTCCATGTCCGTCAACTCTTAGTTTAAGCAAATATTAATCTTTTTTTTTTTTAAATCAGAAAACACATACAACTCACTCCACTTAATAACTTTATGGTCGTAAAAATCTAAAATTTTTAATAAAATATAAAATTGAATGAAAGTAAAGCAACATTAAAAAGAGACAACAAATAATACAAAATTATGCCAAATTTGACAAAATCTTAATAACACAAACAACCGAAACTACAACAACAACATCAAACCTTTATCCCACTATATGGGGTCAGCTACATAAATCATTTTTCACCATTGTATTCTATTAAGAGTCAAATTCTCATTTAAATCTAATAAAGAAAAGAACATTTATATTATTTTCTAACTAAGTCTTTTTAGGTCTACTTCTACCTTTCTTAACAGAAGTCAAATTTAATACATCTACTCTCAAACTGGGTCATCAAAATGCCAATGTTTTATATGACCAAACAAGCTAAGGTGACTCTCTTTAATCTTATCTGCCACTACATCCACTCCAACACAAACAACCACAACTAAAATAATGAAAAGAGGTACAAAGGAAAGAAGTAACCTAACTGTTAATCTAGGCCTTACATTGATAAAACAAGAAATTTGTCCTAAAAGATATTATGAAGAATTGCACCACTCGAATCATTAACTTAAAACTAGGGTATTTGACCATATACACATTATTAGAGCACCTATTTTCAAAGAAAATGATTTTAGCGTGTCATATAAGATCTTTATTTATTAACTGAATAAATTGATTTTTTTTAATTAAACCTTGGCTATTTGGTAGAATTTACAGGCTGTTGTGAACCATATTCAAGCATTGTAATTTTAATGATAACAAACATTATTGTGTCTGTTACTACTTTCTCTTATTTCTGAGATATTATGTTATGTGTTTGTGCATACTAATGTTTCAAGAAATCAGTCCACTGTTCACTTGCAATTTTGATCAGCCTAAGACTGGGATTTTTAGGATTACAGTTGATTTTCATTTTATTCTATATTTTCTCTTTTCTTGAGTCATGTCATGTAATTGGGTGAATAATATTGTTGAGTAACCTAGCACACACACAGGAGGAGAGAGAAATATTTTTTGAGAGAGTTATTTTTTTAGGGAGCTTGTACTGTACGAAACTAGTTTCGTATTGTACGAAGTACTTCATACTGTACGATTTTAATTCATACTGTATAAACTATTGGACTCTGTCAAAACCCTAGCCGTCAAGGATAAGAAAGATACTAATTTTGTACTAATCATACAGTACGATTTAGATCGTACAGTATGATTTAGATTGTACTGTACTGTGGGCTCCGAAAATTCGGCCCCGACCTCCCCACCGCGCGACTGTTTGCTTTTCTTTTTTGGCGAGGGGAGTTTTAATGGAATTAAGTTTCGGGCTAAATTTGGAAGGCAGATGGGTTTGTAGATAAGACACTACCCAGAGATTTCGCCCTCATTTTGCGAGGACTTTATGATATGAGTTCTGGTTTCCTATAGGCGCAAGCCCCTATAGTTAATTATCCCTCCCGATCACGAGAGAGAACTTTTGATTAAGGCTAGTCATCAATCAGATACGCAGAGATACGCATTATCTGGCATATAGTAGCAGCATGGGTTTGGGTATTGAAGATTGGAAGTTTGAAGATTTGATATTTAAAATAGAAATTTCACTATCTTTCACTTAAAGCGGATGGTGGGGGAATGGATGATGGACCCGATCAAGATCACATGGTTCCGTCAGCCCGGGCCATCGTGGTCCCTGGTCTACTTAGTCAGAGGAGGTAGTCGACCCAACCTGACAGAAGGATCCTTGTCGGCAGCCATGGGTTGCTTCATCCAAGGTACCTTGTAGACCTGGGTTGGATGTTTGCCTAAGGGGACAAATTTGAATCCACCTTAACTGATAGAGGGCTTCGTGCCCTATCGATCGATCATATCATATTAATTCATATCTCAATGATTTAATGCCAATAAGGAGCGTATTAGCTCTGGCCATAACCAGTATTTCATGGTGCCATTTAGCGGCAAAACCACTCGGTTCAGAGGGCCCCGGGTCATAACCGTTTATCCTGCGGTGCCATTTGGCGGCAAAATCGCCAGTTAGAGGACACGTACCACGTCCTTACTGGCAGGAGATTGTTTGGGAATAGATTCTAGTGATATTTTCGACTAGGCATTAGCTCTTTGAGAGCTGAAGTTATATCTGAATTTATCCACCTCGGTAAACTGTTGCGGAGGGTGGATGAATAATGCTTTGAGTGATTGATGGATAATTTCAAATTTAAATATCTTAAATTTGGGATTTTTGAATTTTGAGTGGACTATTGGGAGGCATTTGAAAATATTTGTGAACCCCTCTGGTTGAGATCTTCATTCAACACGGCTATCATCGAGGTGTTCGGGTCATTTCTCTATGTTGATTAAACCTTGTCGACCCTATCAACTTAATGATAGGGGATCGGGTTTCTCGTAGGCTTTATGCCTTTGTTCATGAATTTTCTTTGTTGAAGGCCTTGAAGGCCCAATATGAATGCACAAAATAAATATTCTAGTCAACTTCGTGACCGCATATTTATCCGATATCTCGAATCCTGTCTACTCCTATTTATCTACTTAGGATGATCGGGTTTCGTAGGCTTCATGCCTTTTGTTTAATGAATTCTCTTAATTATAGGCCTTGAAGGCCTAATATGAATGCAATAAAACAAATATACTAACCATCGCGACTGTATACTTGTTTGTTGGTTCGAACCCTGTTGACTTCTATTGACCCGTATAGAAGGATCAGGTTCGAACTTGAATTCACTTATTGACCCGCGCAGCATCCCTAGACATCACATGTGTACTAATAACATGCTTGCCAGGGCCCATGCGAGGTCTAAAGCAGCATTTTGTGGGTTTTACAATATAAGCCATAATAAAAATAAAGGCGGGATATAGATTTTTGAATTGAAACATTTTTTACTCTTTTGTTTGAGTTTTTCTGTATCCTGTATTTAGTACAGGTGGTGACAAGAACTCCGGCGAGAAGATCTGCTTCAGGTGGAGATCTCCTGAGAAGGTGATTGAATCTACCTTCTGCCCTGTTCATTGAAACATCCTGTTTTATCTCTCAGCCGGCATCAGGCATCCTCATGCACAGATAGAATCTTAAGATCTAAAATCTTACTCTCAAAAATAGTTTTGTTAATATTCTTTAAATACCCTCATCTAATCCTAAAAAATTTTTTTACTTTATTTTTTATTTTTTGCCAGTTTATTTTAAAGTCCAAAATTAATAATCGATGTTGAGTACATAAATTTTCGCTCAGAATAACTTTATAATTTTTGCAATCTAAACGATCTAATTTTCTTATAAGAAAATAATCAATCTGCATTTTACTATATCCATTTTTATAAGTGATAAGATGTTCATCTCTCTTCTTAAAAAAGTATTAGCTATTAAGAAATCATAAGCTAAAAAAAATTTAATATAGTCTTACCACCTTCATTTGTCGTTCCAAACTCATGGCCACCATGAATGCTTTTAAAATTATCTATCTATCTACCAGCATGTCCATTTAAATCTTCTCAAATAAAA